AGCCATCCGGAATCTCCCCTGCCACAGAGAGACACGTGGGCTGCTCCCACCAGCCGCCACCTCTCTCCAAGTGAGCTCTGATTCCTCCATCTGCCAACAGGGCCCACCAGAGAAGATCCACACCCACACCTACACCCAAAAAAAGGAGGCTGCGACGTTGATGGGTAGCTGGCCCGGAAAGCAAAGCTGTTCGGTGCACGCCCCTTCCTCACAGCGTGCTAGAAACTCCAGCTTACTTGGGCAGAAAGAGGGAAATCACTGGCTGATTTTATGAACGAGGATATTCAGGCATAGCTGGATCCAGGTGGTGAAGCCACAGCCATCAGAATTTGGTCTCTGCTGATTCCAGCTTCCCTCCCCCAGCTGCTCACAGCTGTTACAGGTGCCCTGGCCCTGACAGCCTCAGAATACAAGGGTCGGGTCTCTTGGCTCTGCTTGGCCCAGCTCTGATCAGGTGCCCATCTCAGTTTCATTGGCTGGGGTCAGGGGGGTGTTGTGCCCTGATTGGTCAGGCCAAGAGCTGGGATAGAGCTGAGCCCTGGTGCTGAGCTATTCCTCCTCTAGGAACACAAAGAACCTGGAATCTCATCTCTAGCACGCTCTAAACTCCCCAGAGCTATATCATTGTGGAGACGGGAACACTAAATAACGTATTCCTTCTAGTCATAAAGATTTGCCTACTCTCTAAAGCACCAGGAGTTCTTGACTGAAAGTGTTTGTCAAAAGCCTTTCTACGTCCCTTGTTTTATTTCTTTGCTAAAGTAACTTTGTACTTTTTCAAAGATAGATAATGCAAATGAGAAAATGGAAGAATGGAAAAATGGAAGAATGGAAAAATGGAAGAATTTCTCATCTAAACATAATTGGAAAGATCAGGTTTGATCTGGGGGCTGGGTCACAGTGGCTCCCGCCTGTAATCTTAGGGAGGCTTCAATCTGAAGATTCTGGTTTGAGGCCAGATCAGGCAGCTGGGCAGGAAAGTCTGTCTCTCTCTCTCTCTCTCTCTCTCTCTCTCTCTCTCTCTCTCCCCCCCCCTCACCAACTAACTAGCAAAAAAAATCCACAAGTGGAAGTGGAAGTGTGATTCAAATAGTACAGCTCCAGACTTGAGTGAAAAAGCTAAAGCACAAGACCCAGGCCCTGAGTTCAAGCTCCAGTACCTGAAAAAACAAAACAACAACAACTCACATAGAAAAAGCAAAAACTAGAATCTGGCCAGGCACCAGTGACACTCACACCTGCAATCCTAGCTACTCAGAAGGCTGAGAACTGAGGCAGCCCAGCCATGAAAATCTGAGAGACTCTTATCTCCAATTAACCACACACACACACACACACACACACACACACACACACACACACACACACACACACACACACTGAGCTGTGGTTCAAGTGGTAGAGGGCCTGCCTTGAGCACAAAAGCTTAGGGACGGTGCCCAGGACCCAAGAATGACCAGAAGAAGAAGGAGGAGAAGGAGGAGGAGGAATGGGGGGGAGGGAGAGCTCTTAAGAGGGGGGAGGGGGAGGAGGCCATTAACTTTCATTCCAAAGGCCTTCTTTGGGATGATAGCATAAAATAGGACAAAGCCCAGCTGTTTGGGAAGATCCTGGACACCCTGGCCTGCAGGAAACCGGAGGGCAAGGCAGGGGGAAATTAGGCCCATTCTGTCAGCTATGACAAATCCTGCCCCATTCAGCCCCAGCAGGAGCCATCCTGATAAATGCTATCCTCTTAGCTAGCACCTTTAAGCACCTCCCAAGGGGCTCTGTCTTCTGATTTGATTGGGCACAAATGACTGCGTAAAGACCAATCACAGAGTCCCCTGGTTTCTGCCCACAAACATTGGCTCAGACCAGAGTGGAGTAAGTGCCAGGATGGTCCCATCTCCTCTCTCTAGCAGGAAAAGTTGGAAACCAAGCTAGCCAACCAGCTTGGGTCCAGCCCATTTGAAATTCCCAGAGTTCCAAGACCAGCAAAAGCAGGTCCCTCATCCCTAGCACAGTTGGCTGAGGAAGGGAGGAGGTCATGTAAGGAGTGACTTGGTCCAAGTTCTTGGGTTCTTAGCCCTACCTACTTAGTCTGTTGAAATCCCCTGAGCAACCTTTAAAGGTAGGGTGCCCAAGTCTAATCTCAGTGGGTCTGATTTTTACCAGCTTGGTGGAAGTAAGAGAGGGGGTAAGGGAGAGAAGAGGCTGAACACATGTATGTCAGATCTTTCCAGGTGGTTCTCAAGTGCTTCCAAGGGCTGGGCACTGGTGGGTCATGCCTATAACCCTAGCTACTCAGGAGGCTGAGATCTGAGGATTGGGGTTCAAAGCCAGCCCAGGCAGGAAAGTCTGTGAAACTCTTATCTCCAATAAATCACCAGAAAACTGCAAGTGGTGCTGTATAGCTCAAGTGGTAGAATGCTAGTCTTGACCTGAAGAGTTGAGGCACAGTGCTCAGGCCCAGAGTTCAAGCCCCATGACCTACCACACACAAAAAAAGTGCTTCAAAGGGTACCGGTGGCTCATGCCTGTCATCCTAGCTACTGAGGAGTCTGAGATCTGAGGATCAAGGTTTGAGGCCAACCCAGGAAGGAAAGCCCACAAAACTCTTATCTCCAATTAACCACCAAAAATCTGGAAGTGTGGCTCAAATAAGAGTGTCAGCCTTAAGCAAAAATGCCAAGCAGCAGCTCCAGATCCTGAGTTTAAGTTCAGTTTTAGCACAGGAAAGGAAGGACGGAAGGAAGGACGGAAAGAAGGAAGGAAGGAAGGAAGGAAGGAAGGAAGGAAGGAAGGAAGGAAGGAAGGAAGGAAGGAAGGAAGAAAGAGGTTGGGCAGTGGGATTGAGAACAGTGCGTGTGTGTGGTCCACCTGCCCATATGGCATCTCTGACTTTATTGTACCTTCAAATTGTTCATGAAACTGTAGTGCCCATGAACACACCTGCCCCCAACTCCAGATTGGTTGTAACCTAGCTCAAACCCTTCCTCTACCATTTCCTAGGGGAGTGACCCCTGGGAAAGTCATTCAACCCCTCCATGCCACCATTTCCCCCACCGTTCAGCAGAACAACTAACCAACCCCCACTCAGTAACTTAGCACAGGGTCCTCTGAGTTTTCTCGGCCCTTGAAATGGGTTTCCTAGGAAAAGTTCAGACACAGGGAACCTAAATTCAGAATCTCAAACCTGGGAATTCTGCGTCCATAAAGATGACAAAGGAAGGGCCCCCCAGTAATCTCAGCACTCAGCGCTGAGCTGAGAGAAGAGAGTACTAGGCTGTGGAGAAGTTCAAGGCCAGGCTCCGCTACACAGCAAGACAGCCAATCTTGCCATAACAGAGAAAGAGGAAATAAAGGCAGGTGCCTGGTGGCTCATGCCCATCATCCTAACTACCCAGAAGTCTGAGATCTGAGGATCACAGTGCAAAGCCAGCCTGGCAAGGAAAGTCTGTGAGAACCAGCAAAAAGCCGAAAGTGGAGCTGTGTGGCTCAAGTGGTAGAGGGCCTGCATTGAGAAAAAGAAAGAAAGAAAGCTCAGGGGCCATCTAAGCCTTGAGTTCAAGTCCCAGCATTGGCACAAAGGTGGCCCCGGGGTGTGTGTGTGTGTGTGTGTGTGTGTGTGTGTGTGTGTGTGTGTGTGTGTGTGTGTGTGTGTGTGTGTGTGTGTGTGTGTTGGGGAAGGGAGCAGGGTGCCCTTTGGTTCCGTGCAGACCCCAGGCCCAGGCCCAGGCGGGCCGGGGCGGGCCGCTGCTCCAGGTTCGGCGAGCGCGGCCGCCACCCTCTGCGGCAGACGCGGCTGCGCCTCGCGGCCCGGCTGCGGGCGCGGTGGCGCGGTGACGCGGTGGGATAAATGCCGACTAACTGTGTAGGCGAATCGGAGCTAAAAATAAGAACGGAAAATCTATCATTAAGGTCTCATTGCGCCGGCGCGGCGCTCGGAACGAGCCCTGGTCCCCGGCGCCCGCGCGCGGCGCGTGGAGCCGGCCTCCGGGCTGCGGGTGCGGGTCCCCCCGCAGGGGGACGCGTTAGCGGGTGGGAGCCTCCCCGAACCCCTCCGGCACGGGCCCTCCGAGCCGGACCCGAGGGCTCAGCCCCCTCCCTGCCCCCCTTCCACGTCTCCCCGGCCCCGGAGGCCGAACGGTGACACGAGTGACCATCATACAGCGTCCCCATCCATACTAATAGTAACCATACCAAGGCCAGTTTTGGGGGGCGGAGAGCAGATGGGGTGCAGGAGAAAATTGACAACTGGAAAGAGAAAAACGTCATAAAGTACGCGGACCGTTTCGGGTGTTTGGGGGGTTTATTTTTGGAGGGATAGAGAGGAAAATAACCGGGTCTTCCCGGTGCGCGGCGCTGGGGCGCAGAGGCGCCGGCCGGGCGATGCATGCGGCGGGCGCGGGGGCCCCGTGGGGACTCCGTGGGGCGCCGCGGGGCTGAACGAACACGGCTCCCACTCCCCGCGGGGGCGGAGGGGAGGCCCGCGGACGCAGGCCGGGGCGGGGCGGCGCGGGGAGGGGCGCGGGGCGCAGTCCGCGCGCGGGGCCGACGTGCGTGGCCCTGGCTCTGGCCGCGCGCCTGTCCCTTCGAGGGAACCGCGCGTCACCTGACTCCGCCCGCCCGCGCGCGCCGCGCCGCGCCGGCCCCTGCGTTTGCCCCCGAGGTGTTGGGGTGCGGGCGTGGGAAAGTGCTCCGGGGGCGGGGGGCGGGGAGCGCGCTGCGGGGGAGGGGGGGCTCCGCAGAGCCCAGACGCGGCTCGGGCCCGGGAATGGCACACATCTAGATCGACCGATCGGCGCCTGACCGCGGAGCGGAGACCCTGCGGCGGAGGCGAGGGCGAGCGAGCGAGCGAGCCGGGAACCATCCTCCTCCCCCCTCCCCCCCCTCCCCTCCCCCGCCCCGCCGCCGCCGCCGCCGCCGCGCGGGCCGGAGCGGGCGGAGCGGCCCGGCGCGCGGGGCCCGGCGCGGGGACGATGTGAGCGCGCGGGGTCCGGCTGGCTCCGAGCACCATGCAGAAGGGGATCCGGCTCAACGACGGCCACGTCGCGTCCCTGGGGCTGCTGGCGCGGAAGGACGGCACGCGCAAGGGCTACCTGAGCAAGCGCAGCTCCGACAACACGAAATGGCAAACCAAGTGGTTCGCGCTGCTGCAGAACCTGCTCTTCTACTTCGAGAGCGACTCGAGCTCGCGGCCCTCCGGCCTCTACCTGCTGGAGGGCTGCGTGTGCGACCGCGCGCCCTCGCCCAAGCCCGCGCCCTCCGCCAAGGAGCCGCTGGAGAAGCAGGTGAGGCGCGGGGCGCGGGGGGCGCGGGGGGCGCGGGGCGCGGGGCGCGGGGGGCCGGGGCGCGGGGGGGCCGGGGCGCGGGGCGCGGGGGGCCGGGGCGCGGGGCGCGGCGGCGCGGGGGGCCGGGGCGCGGGGCGCGGGGCGCGGCGGCGCGGGGGGCCGGGGCGCGGGGCGCGGGGCGCGGGGCGCGGGGCGCCGGGGCGCGGGGGGCCGGGGCGCGGGGGGCCGGGGCGCGGGGCGCGGCGGGCGCGGGGGGCCGGGGCGCTGGGGGCCGGGGCGCGGGGGGGCGCGGGGGGCCGGGGCGCGGGGCGCGGCGGGCGCGGGGGGCGCGGGGCGCGGGGCGCGGGGGGCCGGGGCGCGGGGCGCGGGGCGCGGGGGCGGCCACTGCGGGCTGCGGCTGCGGCGCCTTCGCCTGCCGAGCCCTGCGGGAGGCGGGGACGAGGACGCCCACGCTCCGAAGGCCGGGGGAAACTGGCTTCCCCAAAGACCACCCCGAGGGGACGGAGGACCGGGACCCACACGCGCCGTCTCCCCCTCCCGGGGACGTGGGCTTCATTCGCGGCGCTCAGGCCGCCAGGGGCAAGGCCGGGCGCCCCGAGCCGAGCCCGGGCCCGGGCAGCCGCGCGGGCTCTGCGGAGTTGGGTTTGGGCCGGGGCGGGGGGGCAGGGGGGAGGATCTGGGGGGTTGTTGTTGGGGCCACGGGGTCGCCCCGGGCAGATCAACCAACCCCAGGGCTCCGCGGGCTGCACTGGCCGCCGGCCAGGGACGCTGCGGAGGCCGCGGGCGGACGAGCAGGCTCTCCTCGCTCTCCTCCCCCATCCCGGTCGTCTGTCTGTCTGTCCGTCCGTCCGCGCCTGGGCCGCTGCCGCCCAGAGTTGCAGTCCTTGGTTACCTGCGCTCAAAGGCTTCAGGGCCAGGAGGGCCGGGGCCTGCAGCGGGGAGGGGGGCGGGGAGCCCCTCTTTCGGGGGGAGGGAGGATGGAAGAGGAGGGACACCTGCAATCACGGAGTGAGAACATCCAGCCAAGCTCACACACACACACACACACACACACACACACACACACCTCCAAAGGCATCTGGTGCCCCTGTCTCTAGGAAAGATAAAGATCTTAACATGTCACTGGGAGAGACCGGACACCCTTGTGGCCCAACCAACTGGTGATGGCTTGGATGGAGATGGGGATGTGGAAGTCTCAGGAAAATATTCACTTGTGCCCCATCATAGCAGGAGCAGAGCCCACCCCACCGCACCCCACCCCACCGCACCCCACCGCACCCCACCCCACCCCACCCGGTGCTGAGAAAAAACAGCCAAGATCGCAGGAGCCCTTACTGCTGGCACACTGTTGGCTGGGATTTCACGCACACACACACACACATACACTCACTACGGTGGGGACTGGAAATATTGAGGTGGGGGGGGGGGGCCCTGATGATCCCCTGCCGGGAGGCGGGCAGGTGAGAGTCCTTGGAGGGCAAAGCAGGTGGCTGTGAGGGCCGGCAGGCAGCTCCTCAAGCTTTACAGTGACGGCTCCCAGACTCCTCTGGGAGAGCCTGACTCAAGATCTCAGCCCTCACCCTTCTCCACCATCACAGACCTGCATCTCTGGTCATCTTAGCCCCTGCATTCCTCAGCACCACAGCAGAGCCCAGAGCTGAGCCCAAGGACTGCCAGGAAGGGCTGTGCATGGAGGGTTGGGGTTAGGGCTAGGGCTAGGGGTTAGAGGTTAGAGGTTAGGGTTAGGATTGGTGTTTGTTCACATCCAGCTATTCTATGGACTTCCAGCCTTCTGGACATGAAGGCAGACCGGCCTGAGACTGAATATCAGTTCTATGATGGCTGTGTGACTTCACTTATTAAGGAAAACTTCTCTGGATCTTCTTTTTTGTAGTCTACATAATTAAGATATTAATTCCAAGCTTCCTGAGGTTTGGGAGAATGCAAAATGAAATAATGTGTATGAAAAGATCCTCGAAATACACTTCAGTGAGCTCTAAATAAATCTTCATTAAATTTGGATTGCATCCATCTGGGCAGGGTTATTGAGGTCACCGCACGTTGAAGCTAGCAGGAATCTTAAAGCATGTACAACCCGTCCTTGCCATTTTCCAGATTGCAGAAACAGTGAAGGGAAGGGATTTAGTCAGTATCGCAAAGATCCAGCAGAATAAGACCCAGAAATCACACACTGTCTAGGAAATCCTGAAAACAAGACCCTCCG